GGGTATAGCCTACTAGCGAATAGGAACGGATAGTAGGTACAGAGTAAACGTGTGTAAACTGCGTTAATGTACCCCCTCTAACCAAAAATAAAAATACGCACCACCTGAGTAGATAATAGATATAAACAGTACGTAACTACCGTGGACGGCGGTAACCGTAATCCGTTGTTGAAACCATCAAACTATTTCGCTAATAAGGATCGTGGACGGTACGCATACCGTGATCTACTAATGTACTCAATTACACTAAATTTACCAGCGGGGGTAGTGGATTAATAGCGGCCTACTCGGGCCACCAGTCGCTAAAACAATAAAAAAAAACGTGTTAATAAAAGTCCGTGTAAATCGAACCTTGGCGTTTTACCGTTAATAAGGGGAGGGGGGAGCGGTTCAGCCCGGCGTCTAAATGTTTATACCGTACTATATAGACTCTACAGCGCGGTCATACTCTTATTCGGACGTTTTTTTTTTTTCACTCAAAAAAAAAAAACTACACGGTAATGAGCCTGACCCGTGAACGTATCGTATTCGTGTATACCGATGCCGCCTCCGCCACCCCCCCCCCCCCCCCACTATTATACCTGTAAGATACTGCGTAAATATTACATTTCGCGTTCCGTGTGCCGTGTGTATTGTATTCGAGACTATATTTCTGATACGCCGTGGAATAATAACAACGTTACGTTGCTCCGCGCCATCACAGTGTATCAACACAAAACCGATTCCTGCCTACACGCGTGCCCCCCGTACACGTACCGGACAATGTCGCGTCCTGCGATAAACAAGACAAACAACAAGTTATAATAATAATAACACGGCGGCGGATCCGAATGTCCTCGAATATATTATAATGTCATACCGGACGATAATGACAATAATAGTAACGGCAACGTACGAGGCGGCGAAACGACTCTCGCGGGTCCGATTCGGACGTTTCGTCGCCGACCGTATATAAATGTCGTGTATCGGAATCCCCGTGGTCTCGGGACGCGGACGTTTCCGAGTGAAACTAATACAGTCGCGTCGCACGAATAAATTAGTCGAAAGTCGGTGGCTATTAATACACGTTTACTAGCGACCGGGGACGACCGTATGGCGCACGGCGTACGCGCACAATAAGGACCGACGGCGTCCGTCGCGTGATATACCGCGGTGACCGTTTAGAAAAATGAAAGAAAAAAAACAAAAATGTTTTCATATTTTTTTTTCAGACATAAGTCTTATTACAATAATAACAACGCAATAATATATTGTAATGTCGTGTTCCGTATATCACGTACGTACGCGCGCGTGCGTGTATTTTAATAATAATATGCATGTTAAAAACGTTGTGTCTACAGGTAGTGTACCGTGTATACTATATAATCGTATGCGCGTATACAGGGCGATTATTTATTTGTCAAGGACCCCGGCCGCGATTACGTCTTTAGGGTTTTTATTTTTTTTTTTTGCTTCCGAGTAAATTTGGATTTCGTTCTCGATTGTGTTCATACGAACATTGTACAATCGTTCGCGACGGCCGTATTATCAGTACAATATTTTCGTAACCGTACAACCGCAGTCCGCGTTCAACGTCCCCCGCTCACCCACTCGCTCTCTTTCTCTACGGTTATCAAACCTCAGGCTGGCGCTTGTCAGCACGACCGTACTTACGCGAATGGTTGCGCGACGGCGCACGTTGAACCGGCGAGAAAACCGGCGCCCGCAATGTCCTTATCAAAAACCACCTCTGCACCGCCGTCAGCGCCCGCTGTGTGTTTCCCGCGAACGCAATTGTGGCATTACCGTATTCGTGCGTTGGGTAATTGTAGACCGTGCGCGGTTTTTCGAATAATAAAAAAGTCAACGAAAGTGAGAAAAATAAATATAGAAAAAAAAAAAAAAAGTGTCGAAATATTGGTACTTCTTTTGTTCGATTATCTTCCGGCTCGGGCGTTAGGAGGGAGAATCGGTCGGCGGTGTATTAGTTACCCGATTGTTAATTATGTAGCGTAACATGTACATGTTTTGCTTACGTTATTACGTTATTTCATTGGGCAGATTGCAGATAAATCCATTATTTATTATTATTTACAATCGGTGTATTTTTTATTCTTTCGGTCGGGTAACTTATTACCTATCTATTATAACATTCGGTGAATGGCACTTGTTCGAAAAACGATAACAAGTTCTTATCGTATGTTGATGTTAAAAACCGTTTTCGGAAACCCGGCCCGGTCACGTGTATTAACATATGATTAGTGCATTGCATTACTACATACAATGCACACGAAACAATATACTACCAGATGTGCTTTTGCGTAACGAATCTGGGCTTATTTATATTCCTCCATTCGGTTCGTCTGAAGCCCCAAAACATTATTACAATTAATTATAGTGATATTTAGTATTCAAATATTAAAAATTTAAAATGTATAGGTATAAAAAATTGCGCTTCCGGCCCGTTATTATTTATCCTTAACATTTTCGAACAACTGTCCTCTATCACGATTAAAGATATACTGGTTGCCCAACGGGCTATGGATATTGCGACTGGAATATCACTCTGATGTTAAACCAATTCTGTAGCCCTCGCGGACCGCTGTGGAATATTTATGCGCTTTATTATATCGCAATTCCTAAAATATATTTGTGAACGTGAAATTCTAAATCATTAGTAGTGACGATTTACGATTATATTAAGGACTAAAGCTTCAGTCACAACTAACAAACTAAAGTACAAAATCAATACAATGAATATGTTTATTAAATTATATGTTATTCAAAACAATCATTGCTATTAATACTGTAATACTGGTGATGTAGGTATGTGCAATCTCGAGGAACTCAGATTTAATTGGAACTGCGCCTATACTGAGCTTTGGGCACTTTAAACAAATTTTAATTTTTTTTTTCCAAAGTATTTAGCTTTATTATAAGAAAATTAAAGAAAATAAAAATTTTTGTGATCAATACAAAATAATAAACCGATAGAATAATGACTGTATACTACTATCTGATTCCTTGTGTTTAAAATGGTATTGACATATTCTAGAGTTTTCTTCTAATGTAACGCTAAAAGCTTTCTCCCATTCGACCTTCCGAGGGAATTTTCTTCGGTAACCCAAACGTGTACTGGTTTTTAAACCCTTTATAAGAGCAGACAAATAACGACGTGATTTCCCATGTAAAACGCAATGCCTATTGTAACGTAAAAATACTTTTGAACGTGCACAAAAATATATATTTTTTTTTTTTTAAAAAAAAAACTGCTAAAAAAATAACAATTACATCCTAGGTTCGCGTACGGTTGTATTTTTAGTGGTAACGGTGTTGTGCGTGTGCTTTTAAATTAGGCGGGACTGCAATAGTTTCACGTAATATTGTAAACACGGAGTTATTTTCACGTACGGAGAGCGCGCCGAGTCGGGCGGGCCGGCCCGCACTCGAGAGAGCGATTCAAATCGCCGCGTGATAACGTTCGTAACGCGATCCGCCGGGCGACCGCCGCCACCGGTATACCGAACCGGCGGGCCTTTAATCGCGCTGTGTACCGTCATCGGGTCACACCCGCGGCGCGGTAACTTTTCTTCGGCGCTCCGCGCGCGAAAATATCGTCGTGCGGTTCCGCGTGATACGGACCGGACGCAGGTTACCTAACCGCGAAATCGAATTTTACTCAACGCGCGCGCGCGCGCGATTAAAACACTCGCGGCAATCAATCGGTGCGCGTGCGCGTGGCGTACAAATAAAACGCGCGTCGTGCCCGCGACGGACGGACGGCCCGGGCGGTTTCCGCGACAATCGTGTTTTGACAATAACGGCGCCCGCGAAGACCGGCCGGCGTAGCGATGGAGATGCGTCGTTACTGCGCTGTCTGACGGGGGGGGGGGGGGGGAGGAAATCTCGTATAGCGCGCTGCGCGGTCCCGCGCATAAAATGCAATAATAACGCGCCGTTCGGTTTCGGTTCGCGCGGCGCGGTCCCGGTAACGCCGTCCGCGCTTCTTTCGCGTAAACGTGTCCCGTACGGCATTGTGACGCGAGAGCGGCGACCCGCGCCGAGTCGCCGGGCAATTAACTTCATCAATATTTATGGACCCGGGCGCTGCGCTAATTGAACGGCGTGCGTGTGCGCGCGCGCGCGCGCAGCGTTTTCGCGTGCTCTCCTCTCGCCGACGGTCTCTCGGCTCGCCCCGCTCTCGCACACGCGCGCGCCTCGCACTCTCTACAGCGGCGGCAGCCGACGACCTCAACGACGGCCGCGAGCCCGCGACAGCGCAAAAAATAATACAACGGTTATCGTCGCTGCCCCGGGAACTCGCACTTAAAGAATTGTAGAGAACAAAAAAACACAATAATAAACAAATACGTTTTAAATTATAATACAGTAATTATAAATACGGACTCGGCGTGCAGCAGCGGTAATACGTACACCCGGTACGCCCGCCCGACCGTGCGTGTGTTACGCGTATAATTGCGATAATTTATAACGATACCGCGCGAGTGTACGCGTTATTATCGCGAATTGATTCCTGTAAATCGCGTACGGCGGGGCGGGCGGGGGTACCCGATTCGTATACGGACACATTTTATCGGTGGGGGGGGGTGGGGTGGTAGGCGGGTGTTCCTCCGATAAACGTATTTATTTGCCCATACGCGTGCATATGTTATTGCGCTGTACGCCGGTCCGGCAGGTAGCCCGTGCCCGGTCGGCAATACGCGTTTGCGTCACAAGACGCCGCAACGGCGGTGTGTTCATGTCGTCGTTAGGCGACGCTTGGTGGTACGCTTTGCGCGGCGGACATTATTGCCGTGCGGAACGCGCCCGAAACGATCGCGCGTTCGCGGCGTATTATTGCCGCGTGCCGCTCGTCCACGGCGACGATGACGATAAAGAGTATTGTGCGTGCGCGTGTGTGGACCGCGCGCGCGTTCGAAACGCTACGAGCTCTCCGTGGAGGACGCATTTCATACCGAACGCATACGATTATTGTTATTATTGTTGTACGCGGTTGTTTACTTTACCGACTCTGAACAATTCAACACGGCGATCGTAATTAGTAATTAATAAATCGGACGTTTTTTTTTTCACTGTGTTCCGGTTTAGTCCCGAGTAGTTACGCGTATATAAATTCGCCAAAAAACGAAAAACAAAAATGTCGACGTCAAAATCCATTCAAACACCTCCCATCTACTTACGGCCATTTTAATATAGGATTGTTTGAAAATCAAAAATAGTTTACCCACCCCCGTAAAATTGTAGTGCTGCTCGTTTGTTAAATTGTAAAAAAACTCAATACTTTTCGAAATATCGAGTGTAAGGCACTCAATGGATCGGCCCGTACCTACTGCGTTGTATTGAATTCATAACGAAACTTGACCGTTTTTAAAGTGAAATTTTTGATAGTTGTCAAGCGAAATACTGCAAACAATTTTACAAAAGTATACATTTGCTAAAGTTTTTTTTTTCTATATATATATATTTATGGCATGTGTTAAATGCATATTTCATACACTAAGACGTATGTCTACCTTTGTAAGTATATTGTACAATATATATATTATAAATTATAATAATCATGTTTCAAAATAACAATAAATGCAATTTTGATAAACTATTAGTGTATAATCATTTTTTGTTTGGCTAACTAATTTTCATAGTTCGGAAGATTTTGATATTTTTATTTCGTCTTCTTCTCGAGACTAAAAGAACTTTCGCTGCTTTGAATACATTATTTTTCCATCCGTCTCTATCCATTCTATCGTCAATAATATTATTAATCCCCTAGTGTATTCATTTAAGTCGTTTTTAACTTGGCAGTCTCCGCAATGCTGTCTAAAAGAACCCCTCTGGGTCTTTTCTTCCGAAAACCAAGATTTCATTCGAAATATCGTTCAACGTCTTCAAGCATGGTCTATCCACTAAATTCGTTTGCTCAAAAGTCATAAGGTTTAATTGTATACATTTGTGCAGGGTTCGTTGCACTTAGTGTCGGTCTAATCATAGCCACTGGGCCATGAATGCGGCGGGAGCCCTCAGTCGTGTTAGTGTCTGAGGGACTTTCAGGCCGCAATATTTATTAAATATCGTTTAACTACCGTCAATGTCTTTTGCGCAGAGATTATAAATGTATACAAAGTATTGTTTAACCGTTAGTTGACTACTGCAGACAGCAATAAAAAAAATACTAAAATATAGTTGATAATTGTGCGAGCGATTAAATTTTGTATACAAATTAGTGAAAATTGAAATGTCGGTGAAAATCGTTATTGTGAACTTAGCATATTATACAGTCGAACTTGGTTGATTCGAAATTAAAGAGACCGGGAAAAAAGTCCGGGTTATCCAAGAATTCGAGTTATCGAATTTTCGTTTGATTTTAATTTTAAAACTATCGTTTTAATACCGATATCACAAACAATATTATCTCAAAATCGTAAACATTGAAACGTCATGGGACACTAAAGTATATTATACGAATGTGAGTGGATAATGTGCCGTATATAATCGAGTTGTAAACCAGGTGTATAAACTGTGCAGTTTATACATCTAATACCCATAACAGTGACCATAACATTAATAATAACAAACTTTACGTTCGATAGTAAATGTACATACCTATATATGGGAATCACACGTGTATTACTGATCCTAATAAAACTCGAACTTCGAGTCGACCACAAAATATTCGAGATAAACGCGACCATGAACAAAGTTCAAGGAATCAAACAAGTTCGACTGATGATACATTATGATAATATACCTAACTCCATTACCGCGAAATACGTTATTTTTCGGAATATTATCGACTCCAGACGTAATATTGCACTGTTTTTCATGATCTTTTTTTGTTCTATTTATGGGGTCCTTTTAAAAAAAATGCTCCGGTGGCCTTTGTTGTGTGTCAGACCGACACTGGTTGCACTTCTCTATTAGTTCTGTACTAATGCGCATTTAATTTTCTAAAATTAAACCATAAATAAATCCACCCAAGTATACACTCATCTTCTTTCAAAACGAGGCATTTGTTTTTCTTATTCGATAAAATCGAAAATTATTATAAAATCAAAAAAAAAAAAATGTCTATAATACGTCCGAACGCGCTTTGTCAACCGACACATTGTGCATATTGTATAAACACTATTATTATACCGTTATATTCGAATCGATCGAAACATAAAGAGCATTATATTTTAATAACCGAAGAGTCCGACGACACTGTCGCAGCCGACCGTTGTGATCGATTGCCATTACTATAACATCGTATCAAATAAATAAACAAAATGTAAATCCGGACCACACCGACGGCGGCGGCGGCGGAGCGAGCGAGTTGTGGGAACGCGGACGAAATGTCCAACGATCCGGCGCGGTAAACAAGCGGGTTAACAAATTAGTCAATGATTAATTACTTTAATTATAAAACCGTACCGACGCGAGAGAGTACAAAAATAAAAAAACAAAACCTGTCCGGATACTTTTGAAGTATTTGCTGTATTCGTACGCCGTAAACTTTTTACGCGCGGTCGGTTCGAGATATTATTATTACTTGCCACTATTATGTAGATATTATAATAACATTATTATCTCGTTGATTTATCGAAACGTTTTGAAAATATAATTATTTCCAGTACACAAATACCCGCAGCCTAGAATGTACACATATTATATACTACAAAACAGTGAGTATACTATGTGCGTCTTTATCAGATCGTAGACAACCCCAACCGTACGCGTGCGCGCGCGCGCGATCCCGTAAACAGATTCGATTATAATACATCACCACCTATCTCCTACGCCTAATAATAATAATAATATGAACGCGTAAATACGCGTGCACGTAGACATAAAGTTTAAAGAAACTATCGAGTACGCGTCCCAATTTATCCTCTGCAGTGTGTAATCTACCGAATCCGGACCCTGTCCGTATAACGTTTATTAAAATATTATAAACAGCGCAGAAGATTTGTAGCTCTAAAAAATCACCAAATATCCAATTAAATATGCCAGATATGCGCTTAAAAATATGAATTTTAAAATGAATATTTTTGAACAAAAAATAAGAATTTTTCTGTAGGTACCTATTATTTTAATGAATACATTTTATTTACAACTTTATTTAACAACTTACAAGTTACTATTTATTACTTGGGTTTATTTTATGGGTTTTCTTATCTGGATACTTCTTCAACTACTAATAAACAATTGACAAAATATTTTAGTTTCAAATATTTAAGATTAACAGACATTTTTACCTTGGAAGTTACATTGAACAACAAGATATTTTTTTCAAATTTTCAAACAGAAAACTTTTTCTATTGTCAGCTAACAGCACTTTGAACATTGAAAAAGAACGTTCAACACCAACGGAATTTATAGGAGCATATTAAAAATATGCTAAATCGCCAAGGCTCAAGTTTTCAGGTATTCTGACCATTGAAGTTTCTTCTCCAGATAAAATTGTTGAAATAATATTTAATTATTTTTACGGCATCTGACAGTGGCATATTTTTTGCCTCAAAACTAGTCATTACGTCGGGGATAAAACCAAAATTAGATTTTATAAACACTAAATTTGCCGCTAGGCTGAGGTCAGCAAAATACTTTTGTGCGTTTTTTTATTGAAATCGCCTCTTCTTTATCCAAAGAATTAATAATGGATTTCAAAGTTTCATTGTGTTCGCAATAATAACACGCGGCTTTTACCCACGATTCCCACCTTGTACATATAGATTCTGGTCTCATCGATAAACACCCAGATTTTTTTGTCAATAACAGCATTTTTAATTTTAATTCATGTTTCATCGTAAATTTCGTCTACGTACCCTTTTCGTAAATTTTCACTAAAAATGATTTAAAAGATACATTATTTACTTTATTTAACGGTATATTGGCGGATAACATCGCGGAACACAAATCATTATTGAAGCACGATTTTTGGGTATCAGTTAGAAAATGCTGTTGAGCTTTCTTTATATTTCCTTTTTTTTCTCTCTGGGCAACTAATTTCAGATGTTTTCCTGTAGTTAAATGTTGTGTAATATTGAACCTTTAAGCACTTCTACACTTGAATTCACAAATTTTACAATAAAGTATTTTGCCGTCTGTTAAGAACACTTTAGGGCCGAATTCAGACACAATGTGATTTAATTGTGGATATAAAGACGCTTTAAATTTAGGCATTTTGTTTTATAAATAATAAATACAACGCGTTTGGACTTAAGGTCGACGGTCAACCGTTGGGAAACAGCGATTATTGAAATATGAAAATGTCCGATTTCGGAGACAGGCGTCCCCGTGACCCGTAACGATAATATTTTGTGGGTCGAATAATATTATCTTATAGACAAATAAGAGACGTGTTTCTGAGAAAAGTCAGTAACTATTCATAACTATTCATATTATGATCAAAATTTAAAATAATTTCAGATTCAACGTTATTTTTCTTGTATAAATAAATAAATAAAAACGTCAACTAAAAAATATTGATAAAATGATAAATTATTAAAAAAATGCATCTAAAAGTATAAAATTGAAGAAATATGTCCTACAAACCAAAAAAACGTAAAATATGCATTTATATGCACAATAAAATTTCAAAACTAGTTTTGTGGCAGCATGAAACGTATTTGTTTCGCACTATGCTATTTTTATGACCATGCAAAAAAAATATGCAAATGCTACAAGTCCTCTGCCCTAATTATAAACATACAACTTAACCTATACTATAGGTATGTACGTATAGTACATAGTTTTGCGAATATTTCAAGAACGGGCACAGGAAACGTGATTTATTAAAATACAACTTAATATTATAATACATATTATACTGACACTTTAATATGAAACATAATATTATTAGTTTTTATTAGTTCGAAATTTATATATATATACCAAGGATGTTTTATATTAATTTGCTGTTGAAGAAATTATAATAATTGGAGATAATTATAGAGGCGAAACAGTGAAACAGAATAGATTAAAGTTTCATCAGTTCAAAAAAATCGAAAAACTTCAATTATGCGTAAAACATTGGAAACAGAAAATGTTATAAAATTAGCTAAACAGCTGAACCAACCCATGTCAGTATAAAATCGATGTCTATCTCTACTAGAATCAGAATCAGATATTGATAAAAGACAACTTTTCGTGTCTCCAGTGTAATGTTGTGTGACCCCCGAGATTTTCATAGATCTCCACTTTTTTTAATTTCGAACACAGTCGAAATGACTTCAGACGGGCAAGTCGAAAAGGATCGGTGGTTGTTTAAGCCCGCATCAATGGATTTCGTTAGAAATCAATCGAATTGCTGGTTGGACTCTTTTTCAGTGTTATAGCTATCTCTACGCGTTGTTCTTCTCGTTCAAAGAAAGGTGCCAAATTGATCGACCTTTAGAAGTTTTCTTTTGTATCTTGTAATTCTTACAACCCAAGTGTGACATAATGTTTTGAATGTAATATTTTCTAGGTGTTTCTCTAATTCTCTTATCTAAAAATCTTCTCTTCTAGTATGATATTTGAAAGTCTGTTAAATCGCATCAGATGTTAATGACGGGCGATAATGAATAATCTGTATTATCAAATATTCATACTAACTATCGAATCAATCATTCGTTTATAGCATTCGTATTCTCATGAATTATTCAAATAATTTATTCATCCATGAATTATTCGAATAACTTATTCACAGGAACTATCGAATTATTGGTGGTGTGCACTTTCCGTTCGTACGTTTTCCGCTCAACACTTTTTTCACTATTTTCGCTCATTATCGTAATCTATCTGATAAAATGAGGTCAGTGCTGAAAATTATTTGAGTATGGTATTTAAATACTTTTCTAAGTATTAAATATATATTTTAAATATTATATATTTACAAGTATTTGAGTACATTTTAAATACATTTTTATTTAAATTTGAAACCTTCAAATACTTTTTCTGACTTTTCAATTTAAATTATTTTGGAATTGTCGTTAAAATATACGTAACGATCAAAATCGTAATATAAATAGGTACCCTATTGACAATCCACTATGCCATTAAATTAACTCAGTATTTTAAAATCAGAAATTTGTATTGGTAGTCAAATATAGTAATCATAAACATTTATATTATTTTATCTGGCTTTCCCAAAAAAATATATTTCTAACTACTCCTCTGATTAATTAGTTATTATGTTAACCTAGCAGTAATTTTGAGTGAATGTGTTTTGGAGTTTTTATCGTATTTTTGAATAATTTAAATTTAGTTGATAAAACCGTAAACGAAGCTCTACTTATATTTAAGATTTAAAAAAAAAGTATAACAAAATCTGTATCGTCATTTGAGTGACTCTATTGTTATCTTTATTATAGTTAAATAATTGGAAAAAATAATATTAATATTACAATTATCATAAAATACTTTTTAAAAAGTATTACAGGTGTACATTAAGACACAAGACCAGTCTAGTAAATTGTATACATCTTGGTAACAAACCAGAAGGGAAAGATGTAAGCTATATATATAAATATAATATTGTTGTGGGCAATGGGCATAAACTAAAGTTAAATTTCCTTTTAGACAGCCCACCAGCTACGAGACAACAAACAAGATGGAACAATATAAAGTCAAAAAGTTTGGGAAAGAAGACAAAAAAAAACCAACCAAAACAACAACGATAGAATGGCAATTCTTACGTTCAAATTGTGTAAAATAAAGAAATAAGAAATCTAAAAAAGACTTTAGAAGGAAAAGGAATTTATTTGGGTGAAACAAAATTGTTCTATTATTTTTGTTTCCCTGTACTATAATGCCTTTTTGTATAATATAATAGGTAAATTGTTTTTTTTTTTTAAATAAAGGACAATTAATGAATTTTTTTGTTTTATTAAAATTGTTTGTTTTATATTGTGATAGCAATTTGCTTAAATTATTAACAAGCATTTTGAATTTATGTTGTTGTTTCTTTAATTTCTGAAATACAACTAAAACACAATTTTAACAAAATATTTATTTAAAAAAAAAAAAAAATTAATATATTATATCACAATTTAATAAATAAAACATTTTAGTTATAAGATTTATATTGTTTGTACATCACAATACATATGTAGAATAAAAATAAATTTAATGTGTTTAAAGAACGTTTTATAATAACATAAACACTAGTATAGAAATTTATTACAATTTAATAAATACAAATTTTTTTAAGTTAATTTTTCTGCAAATATGATTTTAAATTATTTTCATATATTGATATTTTATTTTTAAAGTGCCTCGTTAAAACATTTTTTGTTTTTTTAATTGGCTTTAATTTTGCCGTTAATGAATTGCGATGTGAATAATTTTGTATTTTTAATTTCGTATTTGAATGGGCCAATATTGTTTTGATTAGGAAATATAACCCAAACGTAATCACCTAAAATACTATGAATAATACCACCCAAATAAGGATACCCTATAGAAGTTACGTTTACTACCGTTCCTACCTTGAATTTGGTTTCTTTTGAGCAAACGCCATCATTTTCACGAATATTCTAAAAGTACGTATATTGTAATTTATGATTTATTTATTATTATAAATACATTGGATTTTATATAGTTTTTCCAAAACACATTTGGATGTACAATATACTTACGAGGTGATTAATTGCATTTTGTTGCAAACAATTTTATTAGCTCTATCGTTTAATCAAAAAAAAAATTAAATTAGACAATTATAAAACATGTATATAATGTACTCGTAAGTTATGTATTTAGTTAATAGTTGTACTAACAAGTTAGCAATTACGAGTATGTACCTACTCGCAATAGTATATTTTAATAAATTAAATGCACGTTAATTTATAATTTTAAATTTTCGAGCATATAGTCCACCTTACATAATTTCAGCAGTTGATTATACGATAACACGATAACAGGCGGAAATAGCACGACAAATGTGTTGAGCAGAAAATGCACGAGCGGAAAAGGTCCGTAAAGTTAGCGGACGGATATTCAGCAATAATTTTCTTTCTAGTACCAATATTTAGTGTTGAATTAGTGCTGGTGAATGCTACTATTTTAAAAATTAGGGCCCTGTCCAGTAAAAATTTATGTGGGGCTTATCTTCTGTCCACTCCGTGAAATTAGCGGACGCGGGGCCAGCACCAAAATCCGCTGTAGTATCAAAATTTAGTGCTGAATTAGTGCTGGTGAACGGTACCATTTTCAAAATAAGTGCTTAATTTTCCAACGAGATATGGAGTTTTCCGAAATTGTCCACATTGTGGACGCAGTGCGTTTTTTAAACTAATGAACTAGACAACATAAATGTCGCCTAGTGAAAATATGTTGTCATCTAGTTGATTGTACTCGTATTTGTAAAGACTGGGTGATAAACAACAATAAATTATCATAAGAAGTCATAGGACAACTTTGTACATAACTTTTTTCTGAACAGAGAACTAATTTTGCCAAAGAGGTACCGTTGGCCAGCACTAATTTAGCACTAAATTTCAATGAAACGATGTACTTTAGTGCTAGTAGTGCGTTTTCTGTGAAGACTTTCGGAAAAGCCAATATCTCGTTGGAAAATAAAACACTAATTTTAAAAATTGTATCGTTCATATACGTAATATATATTCATATACAAATAATATCGTATTAATTCAGCATTAAATTTTGGTACTACTACGGATGTTGGTGCATGTACTGCGTCCGCTATACGTAAAGTTAGCGGACGAAAAGTAAGCCTCTGTGTAAATTTTTTCCGGGCAGAATACTAATTTTGAAAATATTACCGTTCGCCTGCACTAAATATTGGTGTTAGAAAGAAAATTAGTGCCCAATGTCCGTTCCCTAACTTCACGAACCTGGACGGAAAGTGCACGGCGCCGAATTATTCGATAGTTATTGGTCATTGCCACCCATCTCTATCAGAATGATAGATAGAATGAATCGAATGATTTAGTTTTCTAGAATTTATGGTTTTTGTGATTTCATTCTTTTCATTTAACACAAGACTGTATTGTAAATCGTATCACGAAGCATAATGTTCGAAATAATAAATGTTATAAATTTACCGAAGGCGGTGAAATAAAATTACCTATACCATTTTTAATACCTAATAATATTTACGATATTGCCAAATTAATAGTACCTATAATACTATTGCCTACATATATTTTTGATGAGAGTGGAACATTTTTATTAGGTATCATGGTATTTATATTATACTTATATTTTATTAAAAATTTCTAATAACCTCAAAAACGTCGTTAAAATACCGGTTTGTAATTATTATATTATACAGCAGCTATAGATACATAGCTATGCGCGACGAATAAAGTATTGAAGTTTAATAATAGTCATGTAGTTTTGTTGCGGACAAAGAAAATTAACTTATATTACTTGACCTATTAAAAAGTTAATTATTTTTACGACATTAATATATATATATATTATTTATTTAGCCGGAGGGTTAACAGAGAATCGCAATTAATTTTCAACCGTTAACTTTCAGTGATATAATTTAATTTAATTCAACTTATAAAATATAATGTTTCATTAACTTACTGGCGGCAGTCTTGCGATTGTAACCTGCGTTGTTTAATGAAGTTTCAAAAATATTTAAGAATGTATATATATACAGGGTTACCTGAATTATACGCTACAGTAATTTCCTCATATAAATATGCGAAATAGAGAAAAACGTATATTGTATAATGAGCAAGTTGAACTATTATAAATAGTATAATCTAATATTATTTTTGGGCTTAACATTTTTAGACACCGTTGTTTTGGGAAAGATTTCGAGGTTTAATTTTTGAAGTTTAAATAAGAACAAGCAATGTTTTATTTTTTGAAAATATCACGTACAAAATATAGATATTACTTTTAAATGAATTTTAATGGTTGAAAAACACGTACTCTGTAAATATAAAAAAAAAATAAAAAAAAAAATCAGAGGGTACAATTTTTAATTATAGTTATCATTATTGTTACACTATTACATTGTTACATTATTGGACGTAATAGTTGCATGATTCTATTATTTATATCTAATCATTTTACTGAACATTTTTCCTAAACAAAGTATTTTCTTTATGGGGAAAACCTTTAATTTATCTCGGATACCAAATACATTATTATTGATGGCCACCAAACAAACAAAAGTTATACGTCCAACTTAAATCATAATAACATTATATAGGTCGGTAAAACAAATTATAAATCCTACTTCATATTTTAATAATATAATATAATAAATAATATATGAATATACGATTAAGTTTCGTTTTTTATCACACACATAATTTACTCGTAAAAAAAATATACGTACGTATATGACTTTTAGCGACCATAAAAAAAATATATATATACACAGATTATAATCCACTGGGTAATAAAACTAAATTTCAAAAAATAATATTGCATACTGCAGTGTTGTTTTATGCGTATTATAGTAAAATATCAACTATCCGTATAAAAAATATTACAATAAATGTTTGCTGCGCGCGGAAATGTCAAAGCGACAAAAATAAAAGATTTACTTTATTTTAGATTCTGAGTAAAGCGAGAAATGTATTATTGTTTTACAATGATGTTTATATTTTATTCTATTTTTTTTCTGTGGGTACTTTTCTACCAATTTCGTTCCGATTTACAATAATAGTACTTTTTCTAAAAGGAAATCGATCTGGGGTGGTAATTTTTCAATTTTCCCAAGTTTCCCAGCAAAAGTGAAAAACCAGGGAAAACGTAGAAAAAACACCTGGAAAATATGTACAATATTAAACAAATATTAAAATAAGTTTGTATACATACATTTATTGCAAAAGCTCTTCAAATTATTTACCATTTTGTCTCAAACAAACAAGTACTTGTCTCCAGTTACTCCTATCGTTACTCTCCGTAATTTAATAGATGCCTGTAGAATTCTCTTCCTTAGTCTGCTTCAGAGCTGATTTTCTGATACCAAACTCGTTCTTTGAGGTATCCCCAAACAAAAAAAAATCTAAAGGATTTAGGTCTGAAGACCTTGGAGGTCACAAAATTGTCTTCAAAATGTACTACCTGGATAGCTTGAGGACTTGCCTTTAGAAGTTAGGATATCGCATGATGTACTAACATGATTGGGCCCCACCATATTTCTCTTGAGTAGTGAGACATCAAATGAACGAGACATTCACTTATCGGATCGGTAGAGGAGGCACGATTCCTTGGCCTCAAAGGTCTCCAGACCTAAATTCTTTACATTTTCTTGTTTAGGGATACCTCAAAGAACGAGTTTACCGTCAGAAAATTAATTCTGAAGCAGAACTAAGGGAGAGAATTCTTCAGGCAACTATTGAATTTGCGGAGAGTGACGTCAGAAGTAACTGGGAGTTAAGTATGTGATAAAGCACGTACTTGTTTGAGGAAAAACGGTGGACACTTTGAACAGCTATAACAATAAATGTAACTTATTTTAAATTTCATAAAATACAATTGTTTTTTTAAGTTATATATTTGTTTTTCATCTTCTTTCCTTAAATATAAACTTATTGTACGCACTAACGAAAAAAATTAGTATACCGATAAAAAACCTGCTATATTTTGAAGTTTTTGTGAAATTTGCACCCATTATCTGGAAAGGGATTTTTGTAAGATTAAATTGAAATTTTTTAAAACTTCGATATTTGTAATTAATAAAAGATTTGTGTTAATTCGTCCACCCGAAAAATAACTCGGATCCTTGTAGAATATGTTTTCTTAAAGCTAATTTAATAAACTTTTCAGCAGTGTACTCAAATTTGTTGTAGAATGAACTGTTTAGTAGATATGAACGTTATTATAAATTAAACTTTTATGTTTTTGCGGTTGAACACATTATAAATTAAACTTGTGTTCAAAGTCAAAGCAGATTGTAATAATATTATTTCCCTACATTATGACGGGCCAGTTCCTGAGAGGAGTTTTAGATGTTTGCTTATCGTTTTGTCGATAGCGAGGTAACCGTTAAACGAATTCGAAACTGCGCAGAAATACAATAATAATCGTTTTGCTCCGGTCCAACTGCTTAATGTGGATGTGCAGTGTACGGGGTAGTTCAAATATCACGATACTTGACGTATACGCAAGGCGAAATGATATGTTACCGCAGCGGTGGCAAGATGATCGTGTTAACGTATACTGCACGTACCTATACATGTACGTGTTCGTCGCATTATGTGTATATTATTATGTTGGCTTTTTGTTTTGTTTTGTTTTTTTTGTAAAATAAAATGTAAAAATTTGAATGGCTCGCGCATATCGAGAAAACAATCGACGACTCAATATTACAATATACGAGTATATGGTAGACTGTTATAGTACAGGCGAGTATACGGCGAGCGCGTGTACGGCGACTACTATAAGTGTGCGCCTACTGCAGTAAACATGGAAATGGCGTCGTCGGCACGAGCAAAAGGCGAAAAATCACGATAACCATTCGGATGGTGTACACCATACACATATTATGTACCGAAGCGGGTAACCTAACCGACGCGCGGCACATACCTATAACCATTACATTACT